AAGACTTTGCACATGATTATAACAGAATTGTTCAACTCTACATAATATAACACACATACTGGGTGTGACATAACAAAATAGCAGACAGGAAGGTTAAAACAAGAGAAATTTCTCACACATCTAGAAATTTCAAGTCCAAGATCATGGAGTTGGAAGGTTTGGTTTCTCCTGAGACCTCTCTCCTTGGTTTGTATGACGTCTTCCTACTCTCTATTTCCTTCCTCTGTGTGTATGCTAACCCCTGCTGTCTTCTCCTTTCTCATGAGAACTTACTTCTCTTTGATTAGTGACCCACTCTACCAGTCTCATTTTAACTTCATCATCTCTTCAAAGACCTTATTTCTAAATAATAATATGCTATTCGGAGGTTTGGGATAGCAACATAAACTTCAGGAAGATAAAACTCAGGAGGTAACAAGGCATAGAACAGATATTTTCTACTCAATGGGTTTCAGATCTTCTTTAATACATGTGAAATATTTCCTCGGTGATGTACATTGCTTTCTGAAATTGATGAATGCCGTTACTCATCTAATTTTGTTCTTCTCCCTCCTTGATTTAACTTGAGTCTGTTAACAAGTTTTTCACTTCTAAATTGACCCATATCCTTTCCTTTCTATAGTAATTGCAAAAATAAGCGGCCCCACATTAATTCATTTTCAGATTACAATAATGCTCCTTCAAACCCTTCAAAAAATCAAACCCTTGATAAAATCATTTATAATTAAAAAATTTGCAAAAGAGAGATACCCTCTTTGATGTGTGAGGTTGGGTATATCACTCTTGCTTTTCCCCCCTGAATTTCAGTTATCTATGAGGTCGAATGAAGATATTTAACCTCACAGCACTGTTGGAAGACCAACTAGGACACCGTGTGTGAATGTAGGTGCACAAGGTGGATTCCTTTCTCATTTTGGTCTCCATTGACTTTCATCAAGCTCAAGAGCAGCACCTGTTCTCAGTAGCTCAAAATCTAGTGGCATGAGATTTCTTTTAGAAACATCATTTATTATACTAGGTAGTGATCAATTATTCCGTTTGGTTCATAAAGTTGTTATCAAATTAAATGTTCCAAATTTATTTTGATTTTCTTTATATCTTTCATATGTTTTTAATTTTTCTTCTATTTCTTCCTTCACATCAGTTTGCCAGTTGTCACTTTTTATTGAAATGAGTGAAGTTTCTCTCCTCAACCTCCCATACTTTATTTTACTATTTCAAATAATTTGAGTTGAAAAATCAAATGATAAAAACTATGGCTATTTAGGAAGATACCAGGGAGTAGTAGATATTCCAGGCTCAACCCTGAATTTGGTTCTATGCTAAATAATTTCTATGTCATTAAATCCTCTTCACAACCCACAGAGTAGATTTTACTATTACCACTGCTTTGTACATGACAAATCTGAGAGTACAGGAAGTAACTTAAAATGTGGGAAGGAGTAATAGACACTGGAAATCAGACCTTCTGACTCCAGGTTCAATACTGCTATGCTATGTACCCAAAGTGAGATGTTCCTTTAATGGATCTTTAAGGTCCCAAGATTTTTGCACCATATTGATTTAGTTATGATTTCATCTTATAGAATTCTTCTCAAGTGTTAGAAGTACTTTTATGACTTTTAACTCAACACCATAATGCTAGTTCTCTGCCAGTCCAAAACACTAGCTCTCTGCCAATTCATATATAGGAAAATTTAGTCAAGAGGTAAAACAATTCCTGAAGGAAATGCTGCCCCACCTAATTATTGAAAACAGCTGATCCTCATTGACTGATAAGACAAGCCTGTTTGATTCTGTGTTTTGGACATTTACTTACATGTATGACCACATTCAATCTTTACAGTCTTCTGTGAGGCAAATTCTATAATTGTACCTATTTATCAGGTGATGAAACAAGTTTTGAGTAGTTATGTAATTTTTTTGTCCAGTCAGTAATTAATCGAGTGATATTTAAGTCCAGGAATCTGAGATGAGGAGAATCAAAAACAGAGATGGTGATGAAAAGTCAGAAGAAAATTTTGAAAATGCTACTTACTAATTAGTGGTTCAGGTTCACTGAGAAGAAAATATCTTGATGGAGTTCAGTTGTAGAACCCCAGAAGTAATTAAAGAAAGCCATGGGGAGATTAAAAAGATTGGGAAATGAAACCTACATATTTATTTAAACTTCATTAGAAAGTACCTGAAATCGACAGCTTTCTACTGTTAACCCCACAACTGTTTGTCAGGACTAAATTTATCCTTATAGAAGAAGATTTTTGGAACTCAGTCTGTTTTCTGCACTCTGGTTGCTTCCTTCATGAATTTTACCTTTTTAAAATTTTTTTTTGCTTGGGGGTTCCTTATTATTTCCATAGCTACTCCCCGTCTTCTCTATCCCTCTTTGCTTTTAAGAGTATAACACGTTTGACATTTGGTTGATGGTCATCTTTCCATTGTTTGTCTACATCATTGAGGACTCAGGTTTTCAACAAAAATTATATGGATCAATCAGTCAAGTCTCTTAATATTTTCAATTTTATACAGCCTAACCTTCAATCATCCAAACCTAGAGCTTGTTATTACTTGGAACTTCTTTACTTCCAAATATGGAACCAGTGCTTACTACATTTCCAACTTTATTACAACCCTATCTTCACTATTTTAGGTCATTGACTCCATGAAACCTATCTTCTTCTCTCTCCTTCTTCTCCAAGCCTTCTCCCAATTCAAGGTCATTCCCTTTCACCTCACATCCTCAACCCCACCCTACCTCATTTCCTTCTTCCTCAAAGGAAGACTCCACAGACCAGCATTCCATTCTTTAAGTACCACTGTTCTCACCACCTTAATTTCCTTACTTTCCTTTACATCACCTAAATCTGCTTTACAGAATCCCTACTCTGGTTTAATACCAATATATTGGTGTCTACTATTTCTGGACTTTATTATTTTGTTCCTTTCCTATCTCTTGATTGCTGATGAAGAACAGCCAAGAATAATATGACTGAATTCAATGACAAATTTATTATCTTCAGCCTTAGCCTTTGCTAAATAGCTTCTCCCATTCTTCATCATAGCTATTTTCAGAGCTTCACAGCTTCCTTCACGCCTCCAACTCCACCTTTTCCCTATTCACTTTTAGCAGTCACACTGCTTTACTTTTCCCAGGGAAACAAAATGGAAATTACTAGGCATGAATATCTCATTCATCTTAATTCTCTTTTCTAATGTCTCTGAGAAAGAGACATCCCTGCTCACAATCAGACTTGATTCTTCTTATGCTGAAATTCACTGTTATCTCCATAATAATCCTACTTCATCAATAATGTTGAACACATCTTCATACTCTTGGTAGAACTGAAGGCCAGAGTCTGTACCACAGTTTATCTCAGCTCTAGTTCCCATCAAGCACAGCTGTCTCCGCCAAAGTGACCAAACTTCATAGAGCAAAAACATGTATGTATGTTTGTATGTGTATGCATACACAGGATGTGTGCATGTGTGTGTGAGCATGCACACATGCAAGGATAGAGCATAAAGTGAGGATAGATTAAGGTTTCTACTTCTTTTATTTCCATATTGGACCAATAATCAAGCCCTAAAGTCTAAAGTTTTCATTTATATCAGAAGTAAATAATTAGTAAAATTGCCATCAAGAAATGGAACACTAAATAGATAAATTGATCTAATAAATTCACCAATTATACATGTAAAAAATTTAATGTATCTTTTTTTTGGAGGGGGTGTACGGGGATTGATCTTAGGGGCACTGGACCACTGAGCCACATCCCCAGTCTTTTTTTGTATTTTATTTAGAGACAGGATCTCAATGAGTTCCTTAGCACCTCACCGTTGCTGAGGATGGCTTTGTACTCGTGATCCTACTGCTTCAGCCTCCCAAGTGCCTCCATGCCAAGCTAATGTATCTTTTAACAGTTCTCTAAATTAAATTCTAAAAGCTTCAAATATCTTTTTATTTTACTTTTGATCATAAAATCCATTTACAAAGTAAATATATAGAATCTTGGTAAATATTTTTAAAATATTTTTTAAAAAATGTATAAAGGGGTAATGGTTAAAAAAATTTGGCTATACCTTATCATAAAAATATTCCACTCTCACAATTAAGTCATTTGCACTGAAGCAAATATGTTAAACAGCAATAGGGAATATGTGAAGTATAAATGAAAATTCCCTGTGAACTATTTCAAAGTTTAAAAGTTTCCATATTTACCTCACTATAAGCTCTCCACCAGAAAGTGAAGTTGACATATTCTTTCACAACTTTGGGAATGTTCATTCTCAGTAGAAATTCCACAACAAAGAGTCTCAATTAATAATCACTTGCTAATGCAATCAATTAATAATTAATAACTAATAAAATCCTTCAAGGCAATTCTTTAAGAAAGAAAACTTATGAGGAAAAAAAATAAATGTTTTTCTTAAGCCAAACTTTTCTCCCACTCAACTACAACTTTTTGACTCTATTCTGTTTTTGTTGTGACAGAGTTCACTAAGCTGCCAAGGCTGCCTCCAGATGGAGATGCTACAGCTTCAGCCTCCTGGGTAGCTGGGGTTATAGGAGTGCCCCATAGCTGGGCTTACAGGTGTGAGCCACCACACTTTGATTCCATTCTGAACAGAGACAGTTTTGTCTGTCATGTACTATCATAGCCCCTCCCGAAAGGGATCAGAGACTAAAGGATACAGATAATCCAAAGACTAATGCATCATTTTTGTACCTTCTTTTAGACCCAGGGGCAATTTTTGTTTGGCTTCCTTCATGTGAAAGCAAACATAAAATATAATAGCTATGGGTATCATCAAGAATCAGAGGAACAGATATAAAGTTTCAGAAAGATTCTGACTTCTAGACAATAAAGAAAGGAACTTCGGAGTGACAAAGTGAAATTAAAAAATGTGTGTTGGTGTGTATGTTGGTTATGGGGGATGGTGGAGGGTTCAGGTGACTTCTGTGGAATATTCTAGAATCATAGTGGAAAACAATGGTCTATCCTTGCGGTCCCAAAGGGGCCACAGCTTGAGAAACAACAAGCAAAACTGTGCTTTCTCCATGGTATATCTATCTAGTAGAAGGAAAGATAAGGCCTGCCTATGAGCAAGTTGAGCCATATCCATTTCTGTCACTTGCTCATACTTCCCTTCATCTCCTAGTTCCCACTCCAAGTCCCAACTTTGGTCTCCATTTCACTAGGAAATCTGAAAATCACTGCTGTTGAGAAAGTACTGGCTGTCGGGCTTCGAGAGTGTGTGAAACACAGACAAGGGATCTGCTCATGGGACGGTGAGGGATGCCCTTTAGAAATTCAGGCCCACTGTGGAACCCTGCCTTGCCCCAGCTGCTAACCGCATGCTTCCCTTGCACCAAAGAGAAGGTAAGGGGGAACACATAATTGGGTCAAGGAGTGAATGGACAGAGGGGCAACTTATCAATGGGGTGAGGTATGCCCTTGGCCATTTCATCAAATGATATTGGCAAATGCTATAACCTCTCCTCTCTTGCATCTGTTAAAAAAGAAACATTGCACCCCCTTCACAGCACATAAAATTGGGAGAATGATTGATAATGTGCTTTTCATGCTTGCAACTCATTTCTGAGACAGTTTCCATATAAATAGAACTTAGGATTTATTATGATTCTGGTGGCCCAGTTTTCTTAATAAAGCAAAAATTTTGCTAGGGGCACTGGGGGGAAGGTGGTTCTTAAAAACCGTGGTGAATATTTCAGACTGCCCACTGAGCAGACTTTGGAAAATATTTCTGTTTTCCTCTGTACTTGATTCATTTTGCTGACTCTAAAATGAACTTTGAAAATGACAACATCAGTTGTCCACTCTTTGAACAATCGGGTTTCAGACCATCTGTGTAACTTTGTGCTAAAATAAGGAGATTAAATTTTAAAACTTCTGGCTAAATGTAATATATATATATATATATATATATATATATATATCCCCTGAAAAGGTTAAAACCATAGTGAGGGACATCCTGGTGGCTAAAATTAGGCTTGCTCCTATTAGCAAAGGCCAGGGCCCACCGTGAGGGCAGCAGAGCCACCTTGGTTAAAAACATCCTGACCTTTTCATCATTGCTGGATTCCTATGGAGCAACAGGCATAATGTGCCCTGCTTTCCATTACACTTTCTCACCTTCTGTGCTATCTTAATTTAATGGTTGGCAAGACCATTTAAAAAATGATCAAACTGAGATTCTCCTTTTAATTATATGCTTTTTGTTAGATTTAAAAATGAAAATACAAAATGTCTGGTAATATGTGTTTAGTGTTTCTTTTTTTTTCCTTATTTGTTTCCTGTCATGACTAGCAATAAAAGTGCACCAGCTTCTCTAAGTCATACCCTCTGGAAAAATGGAAAATACTTCCGGGGCTTTCTCATCTATCTCTTGCTTCTTTCAAGGATTGGGAAGTTGGAGAACAGAGACTTCAGAATTGAACTACTTGTGCATCTTTCTTTAAAAGGATCCTTTTTCTTGCAAAGGGCTGGTCAGGACTGCAGAGGCCCACTTTCAGACTTTGTTCGCATTGTTCCACATAAAGAAAACTAAAAAAAAAGAATCACAGAAATAGCATTGTATGAAGACAGAGTTGGTAAGATTAGCATATTAGCCTTTAATGAAAGCTTTTGCAGCTTTTTGCTTAAGGGTGTGAGAGTCTTTGGTAATAAATAATTTCCATCATATTATAATGTGTAGAAGAAAAATATGCATATCAGCAACACATCTTTGAGAGCAAAAAGTATCTCAAGGGAAGCATCAATCTGCAGCCCTGCCACGTGACAAAAACCAATGGCGTGCATTTCATCAAGGCATCTTTATCAAGGTGAGGAAATTTATTTTGTGACTCATAACAGCCTCTCCCAGATAATCAAAACATTCCATTTTAAGTTCTAGATTGGGAATTTTAATAAGGTTCAACCACCTGAATTGCTTTTCTTAGCAATGTTCTCTCTCACTCTCCCTTGCTCTCTTTTTTGGAGCCTAGGAATTATGATAACTTACATAGTCTCTTTACAATAACAAAATCATCTTTGATGATTCCAGGGGTAGTAATATAATAACATCAACTTATTTAATTTTAGGTATATATCAATTATTTCATAGACTATTTATAAAAAAATAAATTAGGAAATTTTGTTTTCAAATGGTAGACTCATGTCCTTGCCTATTTCTGCTCTCTAAAATAACAAGAAGAAGCCACAGAAGCATAAATTCACATTTCAATAAAATTGGAGACACTGGTAATCGAAACTGCATTATATATAGAAAGGCTGCCAAATATAATGGAGTCCAAGTAGAGACCAGGGAAGATGCTGAGAGGGTATGACTAAAGCAAGAATTTCATGCAATGGGATGGAATACAGTTCTTCAAAGCAGGTTGTGTTAATGTAGCTAAGTGATCAACATTATGGTTTATAATGATGGGGAAAGCCAAATCATGGGCCTCCTGAGAAAGACACAACATGAGTTATTCCTTTCCCTTAAAGAAGCACAGCCTGAAAGGAATCATGAGAACAGAGACTCTCTAAATCAAGGGTGTTGTGGATATCAAGCAGAAATCTAATGGACCCCCCCCTACCCAAAATTTGTACAAATTTGATATCACAAACCCACATCAAGAGGGTATGGGAGGGTTTATTACAAAATGAAACTCTCTGAGTAAAACAGAAAAGTTCCCAGGAATATCCAAAAGTAGTCTGAAAGAGAAGAATGGGAAATGTCTTGGGGCTTTTACTGTGGTTGGAGATGATCCCACATGTACACGCAGGAACTTATGAGGTTTGAATCTCCAAATGTGCCCAAAAAGGAATCCTGGGCTTTCTTAGCTTTCCTAAATATGGGGAAGAATGGAAAGAGGCAAAGAGAGTCTTAAATCTTATCAGAAATTGCAATAGTTTCGATCTGAAATGTCCTCCCAGGACCCGTGTATAAAAGACTTGGTCCTTTTCTTGGTGCTTCTGGTAGTGGAAACCTTTAAGAGATGGGGCCCATGGGGAGTTTTAAGCCACAGGAGGGTACCTTTGAAGGGGACTGTGTGACATTTGCCTCTTCTACTTTCTCTCTTTTGTTTCTGGCCATGAGGTGAACTGGCTTCCTCTGCCCAGCACTCTTGCTATGATATACTGCCTCACCACAGGTCCCAACGCAAGAGAGCCAGCCAAAATGGACTGAAAGCTCCAAAACAGTGAGTCAAAATAAAGCTTTCTTTTTTTTTAAAGTTAACTCAGTCATTTCGTTACAGTAGTAGATTTTTTAAAAAATTTATTTATTCTAATTTGTTATATATGAGAGCAGAATGCATTTCAACTCATAATACACATATAAAGCACAATTATTCATGTCTCTGATTGTATACAAAGTAAAGTCACACCATTCGTGTCTTCATACATGTAGTTAGGGTAATGATGTCCATCTCATTCCACCATTTTTCTTACCCCCATGCCCCCTCCCTTACGCTCCTTCCCCTTTGCCCTTTATAAAGTTTCTCCATTCCTCCCATGCTCCTTCCAGCCATCCCCATTATGGATCAGCATCCACTTACCAGAGAAGACATTCAGCATTTGTTTTTTTTGGGGGGGGGGATTGGCTAACTTCATTTAGCATAATATTTTCCAATTCCATCCATTTACCTGCAAATGCCATAATTTTATTCTCTTTAAATGCTGAGTAGTATCCCATTGTATACAATTCCAGTATATATTGTACCACAATTTCTTTATCCATTTTATCTACTGAAGGGCTTCTAAGTTAGTTCCACAATTTAGCTACTGTGAATTGTGTTGTTATAAACATTGATGTGGCTGCATCACTGTAGAATGCTGTTTTTAAGTCCTTTGGGTATAAATTAAGAAGTGAGATAGCTGGGTCAAATGGTGGTTCCATTCCAAGTTTTCCAAGGAAACTCCAGACTGCTTTCCAGATTGGCTATACCAATTTGCAGTCCCACAAGCAATGTATGAGTGTGCCTTTATCCCCACATCCTTGCCAATGCTTATTGTTATTAGTATTGTTGCTTGTATTCTTAATAGCTGCCATTCTGACTGGAGTGGGATGAAATTTTAGAGTAGTTTTAATTTGTATTTCTCTAATTGCTAGAGATATTGAACATTTTTTATATATTTGTTGATTGATTGTATATCATCTTCTGAGAAGTGGCTGTTTAGTTCCTTGGCCCATTTATTGATTGGGTTATTTGTTTTTGGTGTTAAGATTTTTCAGTTCTTTATTTACCCTAGAGATTAGTGCTCTATCTTATGCGTGAGGGATAAAAATTTGCTCCTATTCTGTAGGCTCTCTATTCATCTCACTGATTTTTTTTTTTTTTGCTGAGAAGAAGCTTTACTACAGAGCAATAGTAACAAAAATGACATGATATTGGCACCAAAATAAACTTGTAGGCCAATGGTACTGAATAGAAGACACAGAGACAAACCCACATAAATACAGTTATCTCATATTAGACAAAGGTGCCAAATACATATATTGGAGAAAAGCTAGCTTCTTCAACAAATGGTGCTGGGAAAACTGGAAATCCATTTGCAGCAAAATGAAATCAAGCCCCTATCTCTCATCATGCACAAAACTCAACTCCAAGTGGATGAAGGACCTAGGAATTAAACCAGAGATGCTGCACCTAATAGAAGAAAAAGTGGGCCCAAATCTTCATCACATCCGGATAGGCCCCGACTTCCTTAATAAGACTCCTATAGTGCAAGAAATAAAAACAAGAATCAAGGGATGGGATAGATTCAAACTAAAAAGCTTCTTCTAAGTAATAGAAATTTAACAATACAGCAAATCTTCAAAAGGAGAGTTGGATTTTTATTACAAAGGGTCATTCTACAGAACATTGACTTGAATCTTTTTAAAATGTCAGTGCCAATGCATACAGAACTGCCAATTGTGGTGATTATGCCCAATGCATCAAGTTATATACCCAAAATATATCTGTAATGCCTATGTGTCAATTAGACTTTAATACAGCTGAAAAAATATTTTTTTTTAAAAAAGAACCAGAACATTATCCATGCAAGGACCAAATAACCAGCATTTTGGAGCATGTAGATTTATAATCCTGAAAAGGTTTTATTTTTCTTGAATCAGTGCCTTTTGGCATGCTATGTCAAATTCCTTTTCCAGTTCCTTAAGAACACCTTGGGGAGTTCCATTAATTCCCAGTCACTTTTAATTATTAACACTGTAGTCAAACATTAGTATTTCAATCAGACACTATTGACACTAAGCTTTTCCAAACTCCCACTCAGCATAGATCTGACCTGAAATAAGAAGATGGGCAGTTCAAGGACACTCTTCCACTCATACTTCCTTCTCTCTGTCTTCCCTGACAAGATCTTAATTTCTTTATTGTGAGTCTTTTCTGGCCAATACTGAGAGGCAATAGATATCTTTAGTGTCACAGGAGCCTAAATGTTAGCGCACTCATCCCAGACGTAAAGGTCTAGGAGGGTCTACTTTATACTCAAATTTGGATTTGGTTTCATTTCTACGACAGTCTCCATGATACATTTAACACCAACTTGCAACTGGGATCCTCCATCAAGAAGATGGCTGTATTGGAGGACTATGCTCCAATTCCAGCCAAGTTACACCCCCAGAGAACCCTGGACACAATGGGTACTTTGCCGCTATGTTGCATCAGGTAGAGAGAAAGAGGGCTGCTCTACCACAAACCCCTCTTACTTTATCATTTTCCTCCAATCCTTGTATCCCTATTTTAGTAGAAACAGTGCAATTCTGCTGCCTGAGCAAACATCCAACTAGGGAAGGCAATGACAGAACTTCTTATCATGTGACTCTTCTTCATGTTTTCCTAAAACTTGGAGTTGAGTGGGCTAGGAAATCCCCATCTACCACTAATATAAGTTGAATGCTGTCTACAGTGATTTTTATTTTCAACTGCATTTTCTTCCCATCCTTCTAGCCAGGAGAAATCTAGCCAAGGCATAAACTACCTATAACTAAAATTAGGAAAAGATAGGAAATGAGGTGGAAGATGCCAAAAGTGTTGTCTTTTTCATTGTAAAGAACCAGGGCTAAAAAAATCCAGGATTTTAAATTGTTAATCAAGAGTTGAGATGTGCTCATATGTAAAAGGAAAAACTAAATAATACCAAGAAAATGACCAAAAATGTAACTTAAAAATGGTATTAAAAAGTGGAAGAAAGGAAGGAAGGGGGAAAGTAATGAAAATGTGCTTATCTTATCAATGTTCTGACTGTTTATAAAAATGCAAGTTTAAATACATAAGATTATAGATAAAAATACTAAGTGTAATTTTTTTTATCTGCTATATGTCAACTTATAATTTAAAAACATTCTAAATTATAAGTTGACATATAGCAGATAAGGAAACCACACCATGTAATAAAAGTAAAAAAGTAAAAGAAACATTAAAAACAGAAAATTTCACATAATATATGAAAACCAATTAAATCATAATGAATATAATATGTCAATTGATAGAGATGGGCTAAAACCCTCTTTTGAAAAGCAAAGCCCAAACAAAATATTTTCTGTTTGCAACATATCTACGGTCCTCCAAATCAAAAGGAGCTCAGGAAAGCTACAGATACAAAACACGGATCCTAAAACAAAAACAAAATACAGAAACAAACAAAACAAGCAAATGTAAATGCAGATAAATAAAAAAGTGTATTTTTATCAGAAAATATAGACAAAGCCATATTATAATGATAAGGAGAATAGTTCATCATGAAAATCAAATAATTATAAAAGTTTCTTCTCTAAGCAACATTAACATAAAAATGAATTCAGCCACAATTATAGGATTACAATGTAAAAGTGTTAGTACAATTTAATTTATCTCTTTCAATCCATAAAAGTTCTAGTCAATAAATATAACTAAAGGATAAGAGGCCTAAATAAAAACCAATATCTTCTGACAATCAAATATTTAACTATCTTAAATACAGAAAAATATCTTCTCAAGTCTGTCTATAGATCATTTATAAAAAAATAATCTTATATAGACAGCAAAAATGTAGCCATTTTTAAATCTTAATTTTCTGTGATCACAAAACAGAAAAAAATTCTCACAAAACTGAATGTGGAGCAAAAAGAATATTTAAGAAGTAATGATAACAAAAATGTATCATATCAGAAGATTTGAGATTAATCAAAATCAAATGGTAGAAGAAAAAGAAAATCCCATCCTAAATACACATGTTAATTTACCAGAAAAAAAAGAAAATCAACTAATTATAGAGCTGAGAAAATTAAGAAAAGACACAGGCAAGTATTTAAAAAAAAACTAATAAAATAGAAGGAAAATTAACAAAGGCAACAAGCAGAAATATAAATTAGCAATCAGAAAAATGGTAGAACTAGTAAAACAATTCAAATAGATGGATATTAGAACACAATAAAAGGAATAAAGATTTGGTGAAAATTCTCAGTAAAAGGATTAGAAGATACACATAATACATAAAAAAAGAGAAAGGAGAAGTTACAACATATGGATAGAACATTAAAATATTCCTGTGAGATGTCTTTGTTCAACTCTGCAAAAATAGGAATGAAAAATATACATGAAATAGATAATTTTCCAGGAAATTATAACTTTCCAAACTGGCCAGAGAGGATATAAAAATCTAAAAGAACAGTGCTATGTGAGAACTAGAGGATTGCCAAAGAGTGTCCCTCTCAAAATAGCAACCACAGGGAGTTACTGATGCTATTTAAACGGTTTTGTTTTAATGCTGGTTAAACTGTTCTGGAGCATATAAGAAGAAAAAACTTTCTAGTTATCATTTAATGAAACCAGCATAAAAGCGATATTAAAACCTGAGCAAGATACCCCCGCCAATGAAAATTCTTAGAAAACTCTCAAATAAAAACAATTTGGCAACAGAACAGCAACTTATTGAAAGACATCGATTAAATGAAAGGGGAAGTTATACCAATGGCCAGATGTGGTTTGTGAAATAAACATGAGGTTATTTTACTACTTGTACATTTATTGATATGGTTATCCCTGTTTATAATGTTAAGTTAAAATTAATTTCCTGGGGCTGGGGTTGTGGCTCAGTGGTAGAGTGCTTACCTAGCATGTGTGAGGTGCTGGGTTTGATTCTCAGCATCATATAAAAATAAATAAATAAAATAAAGGTTTTGTGTCCATTTACAACTAAACAATGTTTAAAAAATAATTTTCTTACATTTGCTAAGATATTCAGGAAGATTCAACAATTTTTTAAAAACAAAATTCAATAAACTAGGACTGTCTCAATATGTCCTAAATATATTCTCTCCTTCCCACCCTCCTCCTCCACCAAAGCTTTCCTCCTTTCTCCCTCCATAGGGAGACATAAGAAGCCTTTAGAGATTCTCAAATATGTTCCCTAAGAAGGGAATATAAGAAATGAACAACAGAAAATGGCTTCTCTGTGTGTATGATTTCCTCCCAGATGGATAAGATAAATTAGGCTCATTTTGTCCTATTCCTAGTTGATTCCATGCTCAAGGGGAATACCTACATCATTTGGAAGAAAATTATGAAATAAATACAAAAGGTTACTGGTTAATGGTGAATAGGAGATAGTAGAGCATGAAATTACTTTATACATCTGTCAAACGAAAACTAAAATGATTATGCTCTATTTTATGTAGTTTCAAACATTTAGGTCATTTTTTCTTAATTCTGGAATCTTATTGCTGTGACAGATTGATCCCAAGTTCCACTGTAAAGTAATGTAAGATAAAGAAAGAAAGAAAGAGAGCTGGGGATGTGGCTCAAGAGGTAACGCACTTGCCTGGCATGTGTGGGATGCTGGGTTCGATTCTCAGCACCAAATAAAAAAAATAAAATAAAGATGTTGAGTCCATTGAAAACTGAAAAATAAATATTAAAAACTCTCTCTCTCTCTCTCTCTCTCTATCTCTTTCTCTCTCTCTCTCTCTGGAAAAAAAAGAAAGAAAGATTTAAATGATTTACCAGAAAAATAGAAAATTTCACTCAGGTAATGAAATGAAAGGAACAAATTGCTAAATAATAAAAATGTGAATGCATACTGACTACATATTACACACACACACACGCACACACACACACACACACACATGTGCGCTGTCAGTATTGTAGAATTCATAGCATCATATTTCCCATTAGAAGGATGTCAGCTCTAAGTAAAACATACATCCTGCTAACATCATGGTCATAGCCTACTAGTTTAATATAACTGTTTATACTGTTAGAAATGGTTTAAATAAGTATTATTAACCATTAGAAATGCAAATTATATGTAGCAGTAATAATTCTTTTCCTACCAAGGTAAAGCTCTGATCCTAATTTATTTTAATCTGGAATAGATAACATTGAAAAGATCTGGAACTTTATTTTGGAAAAGAGAGAAATTAATGTGTTGCCAAATCGTCCGAGGTGAAGATTTGGCACCATGTGCAGAGTGCTGAGGTGGGAAAGGAAGGATTCCAGAGCATATAATGATAAATCTTTATCTTCAAAGGGGAGTCAGTCCTCTTTCAATAAAGTCATTCCTGCATTATGGGCAAAATGAGCCGAAGCAGAGAGGTGTGAAATAGGCTGGCTTGTCAGGGCCCTGAAAGCAGTTTTGCATGAGGAGAATAAAAAGGCCCTCAAATGATGCAGTAAAAGGTTAGACTTGAGGTGAACAAGGGTAGAAGGTCTTTGGTGCCATACCAAGAATTATAACTTTATTCAGAGTAAAGGGTATGGTATATGGTTTTACCAGAAAAGGATGTAATATTGAGGCTTAGAAAGACAGGTTAGCAATAGTAATGGAGGACGAACAGGGAAGGATGCGAGAATAGAAGAAAAATAAACCTGCCAGGAAATCATTTCAAGAAATGATGACTACCTAAACCAAGGCTGTAGAAGTAAAAAGAGAAAAATTTAGGTGATGCTGGGGATAGAGAATCTGTAGAACTTGGCAGTTGTTGGAAAATATTCTGAAATGTGGGAGAAGAATGTAAATTTCTTGGGTGGCTGCTGGTATTTGCGTTAGTATCAAGAAGACAAGGTAAGCAGGTTCAAGAGAAGCAAGATGAGTTTACCATAGTCAAGGGACAGGAAGGATGTGGGACACACCGCCAGGAAGTGGGAGCTCAGTAGAGGCATCAGCCTGAGAGAGACTCAGGACGTAGGTGGGAGTCCCACAGAATTTACCAATGAGTCCTTTCCTTTGGTCAATAATAAATATTGGAGGAGAGCATTGTTGCTCTGGATGTGGAGGGCCAAAATTGTTACCCAGTTCAAACATCTTTGTTGCTCATCACTCATGTGAAAACTTGGGAGTTGAAAAGTTGGTGGAAAGAAGCAGTTTTATTCAAAGCCAGCTTTGGAGATGACTGAGAAGACTTTTGCACCACAAATCTCTGTCTTAGGGGACTTAGGGGTGCATAGGCAGAGTGGGACAATGGGCAAGAAATCCATACTCTGGGGGGGGGGGCTCTTCCTCTTCAAAAATACACCCGGTTGATCTCTATCTGTTTCTTTTTCTCTCCAGAGCAACTAAAGGGACCATAACCTTTGAGGCCAGCATCTGCACTTTCAGACACATTACTTTTTTGGTTAAGTCAGTTTATATGAGCTAAAGAAAGGAGCTGGTGTCACAGAGGCCTCTCTTTAGAATTTAGAGAATCATGTGAAAGGGATGGGTCTTTAAAAGGTTAGGAGGAAGAATGGGAAGAGGAGGGGAAAACAGTTCTATTAAAGACACTTTCTGAGGGAGCTGCACAGTTACAATCTAATTGCAAACTTCTTTATCTTCAAGGTTCTAATTTGCTCCCTGCCTGTATCTCTCACTTTATTCTTTTCAACTTCTCTTTTCTCACAGCTTCACCAACAAGGTTCTCAGCCTCTCAAGCAATGTTTTGTGGTTACAAAACCCGCCAATTCCTTCCACCTGCAATTTTTCATCTTCCCTACTGCTCCTTTACCAAACCAAACCAAACCAAACTGAACCAAATCTCTGAACATATTACATTTGCTCATCAGCTAAGCCAAAGTTACCTTACTTCATATTACAATCTAAGTTTTTCTACCCTTTGGATCAATTCCCTTAATTATTTCCTTCAAAGTCTCTTAATTTGTGATTATTTGCCTTTATAAACTTTCTCCTTCCTGTTAGAGCTGACAATAAAACTGCACCTAGGCAGGAGCCTCCTCTGTCTTGTACACTGTTTTATCTCAAAGCCACAAAGCAGGGCTGAGAACATGAAAAGACTCCGGTACGTATCATTGCGGAAAGAAATAAAGGAATGAAGAAATAATCATGCATCTAATCATCACAGAGGAAAAAGGATGCAGATCATGAGTTTTCCTGGATTAATTCACATATCTTTCTACCAAATATCTGAAATCTCCATTGCTAGATCCCCAATTTTATCTGTGCAATAATAGACCTGACATGTAGCTGTGAGTGAGATGGGGAAATAGTCACATATTTTCCTATGTTCAAATACCAGATTTGAGATTTGAACTGCATAACCTTGAACTAACTGCTTACTTCCCTAAGCTTCTACTTGCTCATCATGAAATGGGCCAATAATAACCTATCTCATGGATGTGTGGTACAGGGTAAATGACAAAATGATTGAATCTCTATTCCAGTTCCTGACTCGCAGTAAACACTCAGGAAATAGGGCTCCTCTGGAATTGTCATTCTGCTACCAGATTACTAGTACCACCCTGGGAGAAGAGGCTAGGAAAAAATGCTCTCACTGTTCTAGAAATATTTGGAGTCAAAATGGTAGGGAAACAGGTTTTATTCCAAGACAGCTTTGAAGAAAGATAGAAGAAACATTACTTCAAAAATATTCCATGCTTGGGCAAGGCATGGTGCATGCCTATTGACCCAGGGGCTTGGGGGGCTGAGACAAGATCACTTTCCTATTTCTAGACAACAGTTTGAAAGATATGCTATACTTTAAAACATATTCAAACTATCATTTTTGAGAAAATAATATATGTAATAAGAAGAATAAGACTATAATAAATTATCCAGTCAGGATATTCCTGGTTATAATATATACACACATTGCTTGTTACAACTGCTATAGAGCAGGGTTTCTTGAAAGGAACAATGACTTTTGATGAAGGTAAAAATAATCACTGGGAGTAAATCTGGGGTATAAGCAAATAACAGCCTCACTCTGCCCTCCCTTCTGATTTCCAGTTGAGACTCCTCATTGGCTCACTCAATTGGAGGCCCCAGAGCATGGAAATCCTGCTAATATATTAAACTATCTGGAGTACAACACAGGGTTAAAAGGGAATGAAAATTGTATCAATAAGAGCAAGTATACATATTATACCAGTGATCTATGCGAACCTTCCAGAATTTACACACATGTGCACATACATAGACACACTTAGCATCTTCAGTAAACTATGACTCAGATATCACATACATTGTTCTTAATTTGTACATTAATACCAAGAAATACTGGAATAGAGTCACTGTAGATTAAGTAGAGGGGAGTGAAGAAGGGAAGGGGACAAGGGGATAGGAAGGTTAATATAATGAATCAGACATTATTACCCTATGCATATATAACTATACGAATGATGGGATTCTATGTCATGTACAACCAGGAGAATGAGAAATTTTACTCCATCTATGTGTGATGAATCAAAGTGCATTCTACTGTCATGTATAACTAATTAGAACAAATTAAAAAAAACACTGGTGTGGTGGGGGTAGAACACATGGATAAAAGTAGCCCATATGGACATTTGGGAATAAAAACCATAAAGTAGTTTATGACATGAGAAAAGAAACCATTTACAATTTTATCAATTCAATTAAATGGATTCACTTGTTGCAAAAGACTAAGTGAATTGGCTTTTCCCAAGCCATCCATGATTTTATGTTTTCTTTCTTAATTACAAATATCTAGGAAGTCCCAAACAATCTTTTATCCAGGCTCTCTTGCAGCTAGGCATGACCATGTGCCACCATTTTATTTTATGAGACATGCACAGCAGATACTGGGTGGGGACTTGGAGTAATTTTTTAATGGGACAGATAACTTCATCGCATTCTTTGACTTTTTTCTCCTTCATTCTTCTTCTTTGTCCCTGCTTTTGCAGGACAGGCTGATGCAAAGACTAGAGGGACCGCAAACATATTGCAAGCATTAGGATGGGAGCCACCCACCGAGGGTTGTGAAGCAAGAAGGACAGACGGGCCTGTACTGGGAATGACATCCTCAAGCAATGTCACCACACCTAGGCTGCCACATCTTACTTTGAGGGGATAAAAGGCCTTATCTATTTAAGCTGGTGGTAGATCTACATGTGTCAATTGAAGTAAAAAGCCTTCCTGGTTGATATGCTTACTGATTTTCTTCTTTTAACAAGAACTGCCCATCAAAAGTTAGGCTGTTGGCAGGAAGCCCAGAGACACTGAGATGGCTCCTAGTCTTTTATTCCTTAGAGAGTCTGTATGTTTTTCATTATAGTCACTCAAATTTTATAATAAAAGTATGAGGGAGCATAGTTCATTTTCTCTGGATTCATTTATTCATTGAAATAAAGCTTGGGCTTAGAACCAAAGGGCTTTTCTTCATATTGCAACTTTCACTGCAGTTATGACAATTAAAATAGGTACAGATTATCTCCGAGAGGACAGAAAGCTTGTCCTTTGAGTAGTAGGATTCCATGCCATTTAGGCAAGTAGGGTTTCATATATGAAAATAAAGGAAAAAATAATACTCCTTTTAAGATGAGTTTTCAGATGCTTCTTTGGCATGCCTCTTATGCCTGCATGATTTCTCTCAGTAAAATAAAATTAAAGGTGCAGTTCAGCAATCTGTGATACCTTGTGAACCCAAAGGACAGCAACTCTAGATCTTAAGACTTCAGTGCTTCTTCTACAGAGTCATCTGACATCTAGTTAAAGATGATTCCTGAAGTGGTGGGATGCATTTAATGCTTAATATTTTAAAAATATTTTTAAAAATAATTTAAAACATGTTTTAGAGTTGCTTGATTCAAAACCTAAAATTTTATATTATTTACTCACTTTTATTGACATTAAAAGTTTATGTTACACTGTTTTCATTGTGTTGCCCATCTATATTTCCCTTTTATCTATTTTGTTTTCTGGAAATAAAATGGCATAGAAGGTATATATAGTTTGAACACAAAATGGTACATATAGTCAGAATACTCAATAGCTAGTCCCAGTTCTGCAGTGATCACCTTGGCCATACATGGATGAAGTTGATAGGAGGTCTCCAGAAATCCTAGCTAACTGAGGCAGAGTATCAACAGTGTGGTTGGCAAGGGAGGATTGAAGACTTCTTGGCTTCGTACTTTGGGGCTTGTTCTTAGGATAGAGGTTGAGGAAAGTCCTTGGGCTGGTGATACAGCTCAGCAGTATATCCTAAACTTAACATGTGCCAAGAGGTCCTGGGTTCAATCCCTGGCACTCAAAGTAAAGAAAGTGCTGGAGCCCTTCCCGTTCCTACTTTGCCCACCACTGACCCTCTGAATCTCTATTTCCTCAGCTGTAACATCCAGAGACTGACTTAAATATAAACATTTAAAAATTCTAATTTTTGGCTGCCTATAATTCTATTTCTGAACTTCTGTCATTTCCCATCACATATATTTTGGATTCCAACGTTCATTTTCCTCTTACTGAACCACCACCCAACTTCTGCTTCCGATTATATCATTGTTATACCAAAGCCACAATTTTCCAAAGCTCATTTCATATCAGATCTAATAATCATATATATTTTTTTAATTCTAGGAAAATTTGTCAAATTAAAACAGTGTACACTAGTTCACCATATTACCTGATTTTCAAAAATAAAAAGTCCTTGGAATCCTACCTATATATTTTGAATTAATAAAAACTATTTATTTAATTATTTGTATGTACTAAGCATTATTTCCAGGTGAGTATATATGTATGTATTTTTTTAAATCCATTGCAATATTTCTATGTGATAAATGGCATAATTTGGAAGTGTACCCCAAAGGCCCATGTATTAAAGTCTTGGTCACCAGCCTGTGTTGCTATAGGGAGGCGCCTTTAGAAGGTATGGCCTAGTAGACAGAAGTTACATCATTGGGAGCATGCCCTTGAGTGGATTATCAGGACCCCAGCCTTTCCTGTCTCTTTATCTTTGCTTCCTGGCTGCCACATGCTTCCAACATGATGTACTGCCTCACCACAGATCCAACAACAACAGGCCGTGTGAGCTCAGACTAAAACCTCCAAAGCCACAAGCCAAAATAATCCTTTATACCTTTTGAGTTATATCAGGTGTTTGTTACAGCTATGGGAAGTTGACTAAATACAAATCCCTATTCTCCGGTGAAAAATCTGAAACTTAGATAGATTGAATACCTCATCAAGGTCACATTCTGATCCCAGACCAGTTCTCTCTCTCTTTTTTAAATATATATTTTAAAATATTTTTAATATTATATGATATTATAATATTTTTAAAAAAAATTTTTAGTTATAGCTGGACATAATACCTTTATTTAATTTATTTTTATGTGGTACGGAGGATTGAACCCAGTGCCTCACACATGCTAGGCAAGTGCTCTACCACTGAGCTACAACCCCAGCCCCCAGACCAGTTCTCTTTGACTTCGGAATCTCTCTTTGAACACAAGCTTCTGATGCCCATTAGGATAGACCACAGTTTAACACATAAATTGGCTGGTGTCCTTATAAAAGGTAAAATTTGGATAGACATACATAGGAAGACCACCATGTGAAGATAACAGAAGAAATAAAAATGATGATTTTACAAATCAAAGAAGGCCAAAGATTTCTAGCCGATCACCATAAGTTAGGGGAGAGTGTGGAACAGATTCTGTTCTACAAGCACGAGAAGGACACAGTCCAGTCAACTCCTTGATCATGGGCTTCTAGACTCCAGAACTGTGGGACAATAGATTTCTTTGGTTTAATTCAACCCATTTTGTATTTTTCAAAGGCTCCCTAAAAAAAACAGTATAGAAAGAAAATGTGTCTCTCGATGGGACATGGCACCACACGCTGTCTTGACTGTGGTTTAGTGAAAATTTCCTAAAGTGCCCCTTGCCTTTGAATGTTTGTCCCACCTCCAAAGACATAGCTGTCTTTTACCATCATGACTCTGCTTTGTGTTCAGAATATCCAGTAATCTGGGCATCAAAAAATATCAATGAATGGTTTTCTGTTCTTTCCAAGTTGAATAGACCTACTGTTGTGACTTTCTAAGCCTCAAGAGAAAAAAGACTGAAAAAAAAAATAATAACTTGTCTCCCCACAGTTATTTTCCCAAGGATTTCAATCTAGTGTCATAGCTCTCCAGATACAGATATGAATATCAATGCAACAAAGCCTCAGGGTAATGCCTCTTCTGGCCAGACTGGAGAGCTCACACTGCTGGGGCTGTCACGGTCATTTTACTGCCCTCTTCATTTCTTTGTCACTCCTATCCAGTTACTTGACATGGTGTCTAGCTGGGACAAGAGGAGCTGAAGCCCTCTTGGACCATCAACAGCCCCTCTGTCATTTATAGTTAGGATGCTCATTTTCCTTTTAGATAGATGATACATGTTGAGACTTCTGCCCCCTCAGAAAGAGACTCCAAGACAACAAGAGGCCTATTGTTAGAAGATGAAAGGTGAGAATATAACAGGGGCCTGAGTGACTTTCACTGAGAAGGGCCCACTATCCTGCCTCAAAGCACGGATAGTATAGGACAAAGTTAAACAGCAAAGGAAGACCACACTCAAGACAATTGCAATAGAGGAGAAAGACCAGAACTCAGTCGCTCAGCTCTGTTCCGCAAAGATTGGAGCATTTTTAACAGTTGGGGCAGGAGAAAGTACAGCCTGCTTGTATTCAGTGAATAACTTTAGACAAAGGAAAAGTATACTCTCTAGGATCTTCATGACAGGAGGTAGTTTCACAGCTTGAAGCAAGGGGGCTTCTGTAGCAAGGCTCCTCTCTTTCCAAAGAGACAGAAGTGGGGTACTACCATCTTTGATGACTGCATCTCAGAGAGATGACTCCCAGGTTCTTGAAGAAGGCAGTTCAGGGTTGTGAGACTGATAAGGAACTTTTAACAGGGTTTACTTCTCAAAGGAACAGAGAAATTGTTTACAATGAGAAGTTTCAAATGTCAATGCTTTTTAAGGAAAGGGAGGTTGGTCAGTCCCTGGAGCAAGGAGAAGCTACTGTAAAATTTGGTTGGGTTAAAGGAAACTGGAGGCTCATGTGGTCAGCTGATATGCCTGTGGGTAGAGGTTTCATGGCACAAGCTATAATTATGAAGCTGGCAATGCAAGGAAGCACTGGAGACCACAAACATAGCTCATGCTGTTTCCTTGAAATCAAAGCCAGATGTGATTTCAATGCTCTCTCCTCTCTCTGGGCCTCAGAATTCTAATGTAGAAAATACTTAAAACTAGTTTTCTGTGCAATTTTGGAACTCTTAACTTTGCATCTCACCAACCAGTGCTATGAGTTCTTTAGACCTAAGTTGAATGTGTTCACATAGGACAACATTCTGGGCACTCCAGACTCAACTCTTGGATGTTTGCCATGAATCATCTATTAACAGTTTGATGTAATTAACTGGGTAGTTGTCAGATATCTTGGTTGACCAGTGATCCTCAATTTGATTTGATCATGAGAAACACTTGAGAATTTTTGAAAGTGAAAAATCCCAGACCTTGTCCCGGGATATTTTAGATATTCTTTTTTCAGTCATTTGAGGAGGCTCCAGAGAATTGAAGTTTCTGCAAAACATCTGAAATCACTAGCATTCAGGCATGTTTGGGAACTGTTAGATGAAGTTAACATTGTGGTGACATGTCATATGAGATAATTGTGATGTATTATATAGCATTTGTTGCCACCCACTCCAGTTTCTATAGTGATATCTTTTAGTTCTAGTGTTTATTGAATAAATTGATTTAACTAGTTGGTATACTGAATAAAGGCAAAGAAACTTTATAAAAAGTTTATTGCTTATAATTATTGGTACAGGCTTTCAGTTTCCCAACCTCACATTCTCAAAATAGAATTTACCAAATAAACAAAAACCTGATCTTTTGAATCTGTTGTAAATTCGCTGCCATCTTTTTAAGAAGAGATTGGCTTTGACCTACCCTCTCTGAATTATCTAGACTTAGTCCTTTCGTTTGGTGAAAAATAAAATAAAATAAAAACTAAAAAAACAGAGTAGAAGCATCAGATCAGGGCAAAGCTTCCAGCTCCTTTTTTCAGCCTAAATTCCATTAGCATGAGACTTTCAAACAACATCTGTTTTTCCTTATGGAACTCAAAACAATTGCCTAACCTCTTGGCTTTTAAGAAAAAAAGTTCAAGGGCTCACACGACAACACTTTGCTGTATATAATGAATCTGTTAGATTTAAACTATTTTGCAAACAGAGGAAAGGGGAGAATAAATAAAGGGCTATAACACATCTGGTTAATATCTGCAGAAAGTTGCATTTTTTTCCATGTCTCCAAAA